ATATATATATATATATATATATATATATATATATATATATATATATATATATATATATACACACATTCATCAACCAGCTATTTAGTGCGGTTTTGAAGTGCTGTGGTACGGTGTAGCTGTATTTGCTACACCAAGCAGTTCCACATTCTTGTGTATTTTAGTAGGAATGAACGCAAAAATGTCTTTGTATGTAAACGTAGACTCGCCACATCACGTCATTACTGTAAGGGTTTCAAGCGAGAAAGCGATTGGTTTTGTCTGGTTTTCTAGCGAATCATCACCTAAGTTCTGTTATGTAACATGTCTAAGAGGCTGAGGTGCCACCGATGCGATAATTTCATATTCCTTGACAGAGCAGAGATGAGAGATGCGCCGCACACAGTGATTAGTGAAAGCCAGGGTAGCATTAGCTTTTACACCCAGGATGGTGATGGATGACTGAAGCGACAGTTCAAAACTGTGTAAGTGTATCAAGGGTGTGTTGACGTCGAGATATAAGCATTAGTTTTGTTTTATTTGGGGCTAAATAATCTTGCCACGTGCGAAGATGATTTTAAGTAGTTGATTCATGCATGCGACAGTTGCAACATGATCACCTTTGCCACAGGTAAGGGTGCAATTATCAGCATAGGCATGTGCCTCTAGGACAAGGCACATGCATCAGGAGCCGATGAAAACAATCCTGTGAAACACTGGCGCTTATCGGGATTTCTTCCGATGGCAACCGTTCACTGTTGCTTTGAGGAATCTACCTCTCAGGTAGTCTTCCATAAGGAGGATAAGGTCGCCACGCGCTCTCACACTGCTGAGTTTGGCGGCGGGGCCGAGTTCTCACATCTTGCTATATGCCACAGCAATGTCTAGAGCTATTTCATAGGTTTCCTTTCCTTGGTCAAAGGTGTTGTGCCCCTTTTTTTCCTTTTTTTTTTTGTGGCGATCTTACCAGAAAATGCGAGGAGGGTTATGATCTGTAGTTCTTGGGATTGGTTGTAAATGTCCACCACCCTTGCTATCTTCCAGTGAGATGACACATCTCTTGAAAATACTGGAAAGAGGTGCAACCAGTTGAGATGTACATGCACATGGAATTAGATACTGTCATTTTGCTTAAGAAGAACACTGCAAGCACCTGAGTTTTATCTTTGCTCTGGATTGTTACTGTGCCATCGGGTTTTGCAGTGGCAGTATGCTGTCATCAGGAATAAAGCCCTGTTGCTCTTTAAGGGTGTTCCAGCAAGACTTGCTCCCCACTGACTGGCCACTGAGCTTACTTTTTGCTCGCCACCGTTGCTGAGCCCGCCTCTGTACCTAGCTCATAACTGCACAACTTTGTCGGTAGAGCTACTTGTTGGTTGAAGTCGGGTGTTTTATGTAGCGCCTCCAAACAAGACCCTTTTCATCAGCTGCCGCTCTGCCGTGGTAAGTAAATCATGACTGGTTGCGTGTAGCAATGACATGTTACATAGTGTTTTGGTGGTAAGGAGGCGGCAGGTTATGAGTTTCTGATAGACCACTGACAACAGGATCGAAGGAAGAGCCTGAAATGTGTGGGAAAGAAGACAAATAATGTAGTAGCTCTTCAAAAGATCTTGCACTGAGGTGTTGATTCATGTCACCTGCGATAGAAACCTCTAAATGGGGCCAGTAGAAATTCACTGGGATCATTTCCTTGCTACTGTGGACGATAGCTATTTAGCAAGATTTTGTTTTGGTACCGGGTCCAAACCTTGAACATCACCTCTAAGTGATCAGAGAGAATGATGCCTATTAGGGAAATAGATAGACTCTTATTGACGCAGGTTGCGACACCAACAATGGTCCCGCGCTTGATGTTACTTCGATGCCATTTTGTGTAAACACATATTTGGAGATAATTTCCAGGGACTAACCTACTCAGGAAGGTTTCCACATATGCAGTGTATGAATTCCCATGGCTGTAAGGTCACCAATAGTGGTATGAAGACTCCCACCCTCCCCCTTTCTCTCTCTCCTTCTTTATCCTTCTCTCGCTCACTTAATTTATTCATCTATCTGCTGTCTCTAACATTTTCCCATCTCTCCCTCTCTGTCTCTCTCTCACTCCCGTTTTCTCGCTCTTTATTATTATCATTATTTTATAATTATCATTATTGTTATTCTCTTCATTATTCTTTGTCATTATTTATATCATTCTTTGTCATTATTCATTTCATTATTCTTTGTCATTATTTATTTCATTATTCTTTGTCAATATTTATTTAATTATCTTTATTATATCATTATTATTCATATTGTTTTAATAATCATATCATTATTCATATTGTTTAGTTATCATAGCCATAGTTACCCTTGGTATTATCAATATCATTATCTCTATTTTTTATTAATAACATTGTTATTATCATTATCCTTATCGTTATTGTGATAATACTTACATTATTCATGTAAATATTACTGTGAACATTACCATTGCTATCTGAGTTATCATTAATAATAATAGTTAAAATAATAATGATAATGA